CACATCTGGAATGCAGGATGCACTGGAACAGAGGGAACATTCCCAAGAACACACAGACACAGCCTCCACACCCCTCCTCAGCTTGCTCCTCTCAGTTAAAGGCTTCTGCTCTTTCTAAGAGTTGTTCTCTTCCTCTTTTTTTGTTTTAAATTAATTTCCTGAATGTTCGTTTCTCATTTTTGTTTCTCAAATCTGAACTAGCGCTACACCTTCCACATCCAAACTATGTTGAAGCTTTTATTATTTCAATACTATGACAAAAAACACGGTTCACACTAAAATAGTCACGCACCCACAGTGCACAAGCTTGCAGATCTAAAGTAGAATTAAAAAAAAAAAAAAGAAAATAAAATAAAAGGGAAAATAAAATAAAATAAAATAAAAATTTTAAAAAAAAAAAAGGAAACAATACCCAAAATCCCAACAGGAGGAACATCTCTATACAATGGGCTGGTCTCTCCCTACACTCCTCTGCCTTCCTTCTGCTCAAAGCTCCTTTTCACCCCCAAATCTCAGCGTTGCTCCACGATTCCTGGTAATAAATCCCATTAATCAGCTCTCCCACCCCAAATCTCAGTGTTGCTCCACAATTCCTGATAACAAACCCCATTGATCAGCTCCCCCATCCATAATTTGATTTTTCAGGTGCTGCCTCAGCCCTTGCCCAGGGATGCCCTGGCACAGAATTCCAGCCCCTGCTCCTGATTCCAGCTGGGTCCTGCTGGAGCCGGAGCTGCAGAAGGGTCTGGGGTCAGCCCAGCACCTGTGGGGAAACGATCTTTGCTTTTGGGTTTTAGTTTTAGGGTCAGAGGACATGGTATTTCCTGAAACTGGAATTGACTGAAATGGGGATTTTCTGAAATTGGAATTTTCTGAAATTGGTGTTTACTGAAATTGGTGTTTACTGAAATTGCGATTTTCCGAAATTGTTATTTACTGAAATTGGAATTTACTGAAATTGGTGTTTACTGAAATTGCGATTTTCTGAAATAGAGATCTTCTGAAATTGGTATTTACCAAAACTGGCATTTTCTGAAATTGGTATTTTCCAAAACCGGAATTTGCTGAAACTGGAATTGACCGAAATTGGGATTTTCTGCAACTGGAATTTGCTGCCCTGATCAGGAGGGATCGATTTGGTCACACACCTGAGCCCAGACCAGCCCACACTGCCCAACCTCCCTTGTGCCCCTCAGAGCTGCGGGAGGGCTCTGGGAAGGAAAGGGGAGAATGTCCTAAAAAAGCAGAGATGCAATTTCTCTTATGCAGTCAGGCCCAGGTCCAGCGAGGGACTTCAAACTAAATTTAAGCACAGAAAGGATTTTCCCCAGCAACTCCCTGACCCCACGCAGATCTGGGGATTGCTGGCTAAAGCCCTTGACTGGTGGCAACAGGTTTGAACACCCCCACCCCCCAAAAAAACCCCAAACCAAACCCCAGCATCGCTTTTCTTCTTACTCCAGTAAGAAATAATAATAATAATAATAACAATAATAATAATAATAACAATAATTAAGAAAAGAGAAAAAAAAAAGGGGGAAACGACTACTGTAAACATCCATGGTTGAAAATGTCTCCCTTTGCAAAGCAAGCATGCTGCTACCCTAGTGTCTACAGGACTGGATTGACTGAAAAACCAAAAAAAAAATAAAAGAAAAAAAAAAAAAGGCAGCTATTTTACACATCCATTTCAACACAACAGAAGTTAAAAAAATATCTGTCAATTGTAAACACTGGAAAGAACCAAAGTTGGCCAAAACAAACAAAAAAAAAAATAAATTGAACGTAAAATTGGAAAAGAAATGTAGAGTCTGAATACTGCAAATTGAAATACATCCCCCAAAGCTGCAATTTTGGCATTCTTCCTAAAAAATAGATAATAATAATAATAAACCCCAAATAAAGGTCTAACGTGGCGAGCAGGATTCAGTCACAAAGAGCTCGAGACACTTTGCATACTGACCAGATACAAGGTGAACAGAAATTATAACTTATTTATGAGGCTTTACATATTTCAAACTCGACTGAAAAGTATAAAAATAAATTGTGGACTTTGTTCTTTAAGCACCAGCTGTGCCCAGCAGCACAGTGGCTATCTCTGCTATACTAACAAAGGAAACAACAGGGTCTCTCTTTATTTTTTTTTGTCTTTTTTGTGGGTTTTTTTTTGTGTCTAGGACTACTTGATTTTTAGCTTCCCAACCACACTGCAACCAGCATTGCAATGTTTGCCTGTTTGAATATACACAGGGCCAGCTGAGCCCTGATTTGGTGACGGGTTTAACCCTGTTTTTAACATGTTTTACTTTTTAAAAGCAAGTGCACAACGAATAGAACCTTTCTAGAAATCTCAAAGAAAGCGAAAAATAGAAATCAAAATAAAAAAAAAAAAAGAGAGAGAAGAAGAGAAAAAATTAAAAAAAAGAAACGGAAAAAAGAGACATTCCCTCCCTCCCCCCATTTATGCATTTTTCTGGTTGGTTTGTTTGTCTTTTTCTTTTAAAAAAAGGCAACAGACACTAGAGGAATGAGATGGGTGTGTGGGTTGTGATTTCAATGCTCGGGTGAAGGTTTCTGCCGTCCCCTCTGGTGCTGATCATGCTTTGCTCTCGCTCTCCTTTGTTTGTGTGGCTTCGTTGGGCGCCGTCTTCACCTCCGCCGCGGGGCTCTTCCTGTCCGGCACGGCGCCCTTGTCCTCTGCTGGCATTTTCCTGGGGAGAAGCACCACAAGGACAGGCTTTAGGGCACAGAAACACAGCTGGGCTGAGCTAGCCACGGGACAGGAGCACATCCCTGCATGGCAAACGGGAGAGCATTTCCTGGAGCAGGGGGCAAGGGGAGCCCAGCTCAGCTCCCCACCCTGCTTCATTCACGTCTAGATTAACTTTTTATGGCTTGCCCTGCTCAGCTGCAAGGGTGCAAAATGAGCAGCAAAGAAACCTCCCACCCTGCTTCATTCTGGTCTAGATTAACTCTTTTTGGCTTGCCTTGCTCAGATGCAGGGGTGCAGAAAGGACCAGCAAGGAAAGCTCCCCCACCCTGCTTCATTCAGGTCTAGATTAACTTTTTCTGGCTTGCCCTGCTCCGCTGCAAGGGTACAAAAAGGAGCAGCAAGGAAAGCTCCCCCAGCTGCAGGATTTGACCTCAGCACCCCAAGTCCCGGACAATTCAGCAGCAAGGAAAGCTCCCCCAGCTGCAGAAGGATTTGCCTTCAGCACCCCAAGCTAAAGACAAATTGTCAGCTTGGGGTGACAATTAAAGGGGTGACAGTTAAAGGCTTCTGCTCCTTCTAAGAGTTGTTTTCTTTTTGCTTTTAATTAACTCCTGAATATTAATTTCTCATTTTTGTTTCTCAAATCTGAACTAGTGCTACACCTTCCACATCCAAACTATGTTGAAGCTTTTGTTATTTCAATACTATGACAAAAAACACAGCTCACACTAAAATAGCCACGGAATTCAGCAGCAAGGAAAGCTCCTCCAGCTGCAGAAGGATTTGGCTTTAGCACCCCAAGTCCCTGACAATTCAGCAGCAAGGAAAGCTCCCCAGCTGCAGAAGGATTTGGCTTTAGCACCCCAAATTGGCATTCACTGGAATTGGGATTTTCTCAAACGGAGATCTTCTGAAATTGGTATTTACCAAACTGGTGTTTACCAAAACTGGTGTCTTCCAAAACTGCAATTTGCTGGAACAATTTGGAATTTGCTGACAATTCAGCAGCAATCCCACTGTTTGTGTTCCTATGGGAAGCCATTCCTGAAACCCCTGTGATGCTGGAGAAAGGGGAACACAGGGGACAGGAATTCTGCCACAGCCATCTCCACCCTCAGAGGCGACAACTGCCAGCCCAGCCAGGCCCAACATCTGCAGCACAGCTGGGACCCCCAGCCCCAGGCGCTGTTTTCTCTCTCCTGCCCAGCTCAGGGCGCTCCCATCTCAGCCAGGCTCACACTGCCCAGCTTGGGGACAGCTCCAGAGCCCCCAGTGCTGCCAGCCCTGCCCAGGGCACTGCTGCTGCCCAGCCTGGCCCTGAGCGAGCCCTGAGGCTCCTCTGACCTGCAGGAGATGGCATCACTGACCTGCTGAACTCAGCACTGAGGAGAGCTCTTTACACCAAACTCAACTATTTCCGCTCTTCCTTACCAAACAATAACCCAGGACAGACAAAGCCGCCCAAGAGCCTGAGGAACAACAACAATTAATTTATCTCTGATCAATTCCCAGCTCCCTGGTACAGCCTCTCCTGCTCTCCTCCTTCCAAGGCAAGCCCTTTGGGCTCTCAGGTGAGTTAGTTGGCTAAGGGAACAGTGAGATCAGTCAAGAGAACACCCAACAGAGGACACAGCACGAGCACCAGGGCACGAGGGACACAGCACACAACCAACACAAGAGTAAAGGCGGCCGTACTCGGTCTTTGCGGGGGCAGAGCTGTCTGCGGCGGCAGCAGCAGCCT